TGACTGCTATCTAATCTATAACAGTAAAAAAAGTTTTTTGTTTTTAAATCCAAACTATTGTGACACCAGATCTAATTAGTGGCACTTGTCAGCGTATCCACTGTTAGCGTAACACACCCGCTTTAAGGACACTGACTGCTATTCAATCTATAACAGTGAAAAAGTTTTTTGTTTTTAAATCCAAGCTATTGTGACACCAGATGTAATTGGTGGCACTGACTGGGGAAATGGGCACAGTATGCACTGTGAGCCTGACACAGAAGCTGGCAGCAGTGGCAGACAACTGACTGCTATTCAATCTATAACAGTGAAAAAGTTTTGTTTTTTTTTAAATGCAAGCTATTGTGACACCAGTGAGTGAGTGGTGGCACTGGGCACAGTATCCACTGTGAGCCTGACACACCGCTTTAAGGACACTGACTGCTATTCAATCTATAACAGTGAAAAAAGTTTTTTGTTTTTAAATCCAAGCTATTGTGACACCAGATGTAATTGGTGGCACTGACTGGTGAAATGGGCACTGTGAGCCTGACACAGAAGCTGGCAGCAGTGGCAGACAACTAAGTGCATTTACATTAGATAGAAAAAAAAAATCCAAAAAAAGCATACCCTTGTCCCTAACCTAGCTATGCTTTTCCCTATCTTATGAACAGCAGCTACACTTTCCCTCCTCTTACTAAGCATGCAGCTTGAGAATGAATCTAAAATGGATGCTGTCCAGTAGGTGGGAGGGTCTGCTAGGGAGGCTGTGCTGCTAATTGGCTGGAATGTGTCTGCTGACTGTGAGGTACAGGGTCAAAGTTTACTCAATGATGACGAATAGGGGGCGGGTCGAACCGCGCATATGTTCGCCCGCCGTGGCGAACGCGAACATGCTATGTTCGCCAGGAACCGTTCGCCGGCGAACCGTTCGGTACATCACTACTGATTAGTGGTTTGGGGACAAAGATGGCATTATGATCAGTTATGTGGGGACAAACGTTATGGGGAAGCTTGGCTACAAAAATGGTGCTGACAAGCTTTTTGGGGACAAAGCTGGCACTGCAGGAAGTGGGTGACATCTTAGCTGGTGAAGATTGGGGACCCAAAGAGGTGGGTGTGGTTAAAAAAGTAATATAATTATGAAGGCAAGGAGTTAGCAATATAGAGGGCACCAAAAATATTCACGCATTGAGGCATCAGTGATCCTAGGATTAGCCCTGGTAGTAGTGTTTATCTATGTGCAGTGTCATTGTGCTGTAATAGTGTTTCTTGATGTCAGTGTGATGTAATCGTATGTCTCTATGTGCAGTGTCAGTGTGATGTAATAGTGTTTCTCGATGTTAGTGTCAGTGTGGTGCAGTGGTGTCAGTGCAATACACCTGACACACATATCTAGCCAACAAGAATTGTAGAGATCACAGAAGCAAAAGTATACACCTCCACGAAAAAAATGTTTTATATATATATTGTAGTGGATGGCATGGGACTGTCCGCCAGGATTATATTTTAAAAGACTGTTCATGTATTTAACTGACTGTATATTGAAAATTGCATGCTTATTCGTATGTTGGTTCGGTAGTTTCATTCATAGTTCATACGAATGGAAACTACCGAATCCATAGACCACCTCAGAGAGAAGTGTGCACCTTGTTAAAACCTTTCTCACTTCTCTAACCGCAGTTAATTGGTGTTATATTGCCGTATCTGGGTGGCCGCCATTCGGTAGACAAACACGTGTCGGCGGCCATCTTACACACGAACTCTCAGCGGTGTTTGGTCGTCGAGTGTCTGGAACTCAAATCGGACACTCAATTGCCCGAACACCGCTGAGACCTCCAGAACTCACAAACGGAGGGGCCAATCGACTCCTCGTTTGGTGAATTCAATCTACCGAACAAGGGGGTTCATGCGAACGCTGTATTATCTATGGATGGCAAGGATTTATAACTGTTTTTTACCTCCCGAACGTAGACCAACCGCAAGGCCAAAACACATGGAACTCTTTTCGGCCACATAGTCGTGTGCGGTCGGTCAAATCGTTTATTCCCCATAACTCCAGAACCCCTGGTCTGATCTGGGTGAATTTTTTGAGTATGTTGGTCACCCAGACCAGAGCTACCAGGGGATGCCACTTAAGTCCTTGTACCCCACAGTTTTGGGGTACATCCAAGAAACAGGATAAAAGGTACCAGGATTAAGTGTCACACTGAGGGGAGGGAAGTAGGGGAGGGAACCTCTGTATGATTGGTTACTGTCCTAATTACTGGAAATCCCTCCCTTGCATGGGAGAATCCTTTATAAGGAACTGCTGTGAATAAAAGTTTGGTTCTGCTCCTGATGCTGTGTGTCGTCCAGTCATTGGGATTGCGATTGGGATATTGTTGGAGTCTTTTTTTTTTTTTTTTTAATTCTTTATTTTATTTGTGCATAGCGTGAGCAACCATGTTTGCACTGCCACGATAGCTGGTGCAAGCAAATTTGCAAACATATGTTAACATTGGTATGGCGAAAAACATTGCACATTTTTTTTTTTATATAGTCATAGTAGGAAACATGTTAACGGTTAAACAAACTTAGTAGTTGATTGCCTATGGGCGAGTTAACCCGCTAAAATCTTGCTTCATGCTAGATTGTCGTGTGATAGGCATGGTGAAATGCTAGATGCTAAGAGCTGGGCACAACAGATGAAACAGTATAGTGAGGCTTAACATATATCAGGTAGTTCTGCGCAGATTACACAGTACAGTTGAAATGACAGAGTGTGCTATGTGTTTGCATGTTGTACTGATGCGTTATATGTTAGTGCCTTCAGTGAGTCAATGGGAGCAAGGCGAAATGGCAAGCATGTTGTGCACTGTAAGTAAGAGGGAAAAGTGAAACATGAGGCAGAGGATTATACTATATCAGGCTGTAGTATGTCTTTAAACAGGCTTTGTTCTAGCCAACATTGCTGCATGTTATGGCATAGTAAAACATACATATATCTCGTTTACTCCAGGCTTTACTTCAGAGACACTATGCTTGACTACACATAGACTGACTGCTTAGTTTTAACGGGTGAGGGGCCTGCGCTGTCATACTCCAACTGTGACTACCTAGCTAGATAATAACAAATAACGGGGGTGCATAGATATAAAATGAGTCCCGCAGAGCGCAAGCTTTAATGAGGCTGTATCTGTAGAGGTCACGGGTTGCAGTCTCTGGGTTCCCAATCTGGGGTTTCATCTCGCTCCGGTGCTTGGTAGGCTCCTCTCATGCCCAGGCGGTGCCTTGGCGTCCCCTGCGCTGTCTTATTAGTGTGTGGCAGCAGTTGTGGTGTCTCAGGTCCAGGCTGTTGAGGTGGGCTGTTTCTGCCTGGGTGCAGGGTGAGTGGCTTGATCTTTCGGCCCCTCAGGTCTGTCTTTGCGGGGCTGGCAGCGCTGGGGTCTGGTGGTCCCTATGTATTTATATTGCAGGGCTTGTCCTGTGGGGTCCTGCTCTTTTTATGCCCCCTTTGTTTGTGCCAGTTAACTATAGCCTGTACCTTGGTTCGTCCCAGCGTAGTCAGCCAACATATCTCTGGGGCAGTCTGTGATGGTGGTCAGGTGGTGCTGGTTGGTCTCCCCTGCGGTCAGCTTAATTATGCGGGTAGGTCGCGCACATGGCTGGCGTGCGGCGGCCATCTTGAGGAGCGCTGCCCGATGATCCTCGGCAAGGTGGTTGTTTTTAGGCCCTGATTGGTGCACCAGTAGTTGCCTGTGTAGACCGGGATGACCCCCCCGGTCCAGAGGGGGGAGGGGGAGCCAGCCGCCGGCCGGAGACCCAGGAGAGCGGCCGTCTTGTCCCGGCTCAAGCTCCCACGTGTTCCGGGACCTTGTCACGTCGTTGCTGGTGCCAGGCAGGGTCTTGGCGGGTGTCTTTGTGTTCCCCAGCAGCTGGGGGTCGACTTGGTCGCCGGTGTGTGTTGCTGGGTAAGTGTAGTCTCCGGTTAACGCCGATTTACCGGGCCCGGAGCAGGAGCTCAGACAGAGCACGTCTGATCCCGCCGGCGGTCAGGCCCCGCCCCCTTGTTGGAGTCTTTTTATGCCTGCTGGAAATATTACTCTGTGGATTTATTATACTTGTTCCTGAGCCTTACTGGGATCCAAAGTGGAGATAGGCTGTGTAATACCAGCTGTCCGATATATATATGTGTGTATGTATATGTGAAACATTGAAGTTGCTGTTTAGTGGATAGATGAGTGCGCTGGATCTTGTGTAATATATATATAATTTTTTTTATTTATTTTTTTATTTTTTATATTTATAATGCCTGTTGGCTGGGTAGGTGTATGTGTCACTTGTATTTGCCTCATACTATTTGTTGCAGGAAGCATTTAATCATATAGATACATTGTTGATATCCATTCCAAAGGTTAGATAGAGTGGAAGTTAAGCTTTGTGTTTGTGTTTTATTTTGTATTTTTTTCTATGTAGGTGTAACTTGGTATTGTATTGTGATTTGATATTTTGTTTTTAACAAGTGCGCACAATAATGTGTGTGTGTGTGTATATGTATATGTATGTGTGTGTGTGTGTGTGTATATATATATAAATATAGTTCTCTATCTATCTCTATCATAGCCATGTTGATGTGCTCCTCTGTGTATGTTTGAAACTGATAATATCACATCTGTTCTTTACATTTAAACTAAATGTAGTGCAACAGTAACACATGTCTTTGCATAATCGGATTCTACGGAAAAGTCAAATACACTCAACTTGTTCATTTAATAAACATTTCTTACATAACATAGTAAGTATTAATCGCATGTTGAAACTTTTAAAGGGACACTATAGTCACCAGAACAAATACAGATTATTGAATTTGTTCTGGTGAGTAGAATCATTACCTTCAGGCTTTTTGCTGTAAACACTGTCTTTTCAGACACACAATGCAGTGTTTACATTACAGCCTAGTGACGACTTCACTGGCCACTCCTCAGATTGCTGTTAGAGATCCTTCATGGGACATGGCGGCCTAAAATGCATCCAAACATTCAGTATCTCCCCCCTCTGCATGCAGACACTGAACTTTCCTCATAGAGGAAAATGCTGATTGGCCAGGGCTGTGTTTGAATCATGCTGGCTGTGCCTCTGATTTGCCTCCTTGTCAGTCTCAGCCAATCCTATGGAGAAGCATTGTGATTGGATCAGGCCGACGCTTCTGATGATGTCAGCAGACCGCTTTCTATTCTGAGGCAAACAGCATGCAGAGGTACAGCTTCAGGCTTGAAAACAAGTAAGATTTTGCTATATTTAGGGAGGCATGAGGGGCCCAGGGGGCTAGATATATATTTTTTTTAATTCTTTATTTTATTTGTGCGTCAAATAACAATAATCATGCAGAGCCACGACCGCAATTGCAGGCATTTTCATAGTATTACAATGCGTGGCAGTTTAAATGACATGAAAAAGACAACTTGTTAAGTTATAATGAACATGCTTGGTAAAACAGAAAAGCAGTGTCAACAGTAAATACTGTTTTCTGAATGCTTATTTGGATTTGTTTTTTTTTAAGAGTAAATAAAGGCAACAAAAAAGAGAAAAATTATTAGAATGCTAAAAAATTAGCCCTTCGCCTTTTATACCATATTTATTTACTTGCTTTATTTTGATTAGAATATGCTGTTTTCTTACTGGGAGGCATAACCCTTATAGTTGTTTGAAGTCCCTGAGCTTTTGACTCTGAAAATTACCCTCCAAGTTCGATATATATTTGTGCTTGTATTAAGGAAATCATTTTATGTCATTAACTATATGCATGTACAGTAGCTTAATTGACTTATTTAAATTTTCCACCACTCACGATGTATTAATAGAAAATATAGCTCTAAGCATATCTGTAAATATGCATGTCAAAGTTATTAATTATTTCCAAAATGTATTCGGATTATTACATTAAAGATGCAGAAGGCATTTAGGGTATTTCTGTGGGTGCTAGCATTATGCAGAGCTGAACATAGACTCCAAATGGCCTTAAACATAATTCTATTACATAAATAAATTACACGTTCTGTGTATGACTCCAAGATAACATTGTACCATGGTGGGGTTTTGGAGAACAGAATAAAAATAATTGTTAATGCAAAACTCCACCATCACCTCCCCCTCCCCCCCTAAACAAACGAGAAAATGAAAAAAATAATACCTTACTCACCAAACACTCCCGAGCTGTAATAAATGACTAATACGTAATGGTTAGCTCTCATTTGTATTCCAGCTCAATATAAACACAGGTGTTACATTAAAGGCTCACAACCAGCTTTCCAGATGGAAGAAAAGTACTACCCAACAGAAACACTGAATTAAATAAATGGACTGCTCAACTGACTTGGCAACATTCTGACACATTACGTGTTTTTGTGAAGCCAACATTTTGTTAAGTGGTAATCCATTGTAATTTAAAGAAATACTATAGTGTTAGGACGTAGAATTTTTTTTTCCAAATACTAGGGTGCCTTGTGGCTGTTTAGGGGACCAGCCCACCTCTCTGTGAAGTGAAAAGGAATTTAAACATAACTTTTTACCCTCACTGTGCCGATCTTGCCACGGCTGGCACCGCCTCCATGGCTGAGATGATCAGTCTTGATGATATCAACCAATCCAATGCTTTCCCATAGCAAAGCATTGGGAGGCTATTGTATATGCGTAGCAAAACGCAGCGCTTGTCAGGATATTTATATCGGCAGACATTTTGTCCTAAGATAGAAATTAAAAGTGTATATTGCCAGAGTCACTCAGAACAGAGTGGACTCCATTTTGGATTCAGGCTAACAAAGACAGACACAACATTTTTTTTTTTACTTAAGTAGGAGTTTGTGATTACAATATAAATTCTGACTCGTAATGATTATATCTGTCCTGTCTCCATCTAATATAAAAAGATTTGTTTACAAATCTGTCGGGAAACATGACATTACAGAGAAATTGACCTTCCGGCTCCATTGTATTAGTAAACTGTTTGGAACTCCTGTATTGAGGATGTTGTCAATTTGTAAGGCAGACATGACCCCAATCCATCTTCTTAATTAAATTTTCACATAATTGTACAGTGGAAAGAGAATTATCCAAACTAGCTTAAAATTGCACTTGAATGGCCTTCAAAAGTTTGGACAGAAGGGACATTAATAAGTCTTTAAATTGGAATAGTGTGTTATCAAGCAGTAAATTGTCCATTTAATAGCCTTTCCACAAATATCTGTATGTGATTTATTAAAGCATGTTATAGTGTTCCAGTTTTTTTTTTTTTTTTAATGTATGTTACAACTAAGGAAATGAAATTGATCCACCTATTATTAATGATTATAATTATCAAAATAATGGAAATTTTTTGAGTTAAAGGGCAACTTTCACCTCAAAACATAACTTTTTTTTTTTTTTAACATAAGTATCGTTTTAAAAGAAAGCGGATTTTGAAAAAAATGCAGTATATGTAAAAAAAAAAAAATGAGACTAACTCAACCTTACCATTAATATATAATAGGATCTTTCAGCCATATTCATGCACTTTCGGTCAGACAATTTTTATTTTGACATCTCTTTGGCCTTCCCTGCTTCACTCCCTGCACAGTGCAATTATCAGTCATTGCCCTGTACAGTCTGCTAAGTAGGGGAGACTTGGAGATGTATGTAATGCATAAAGAGCAATTGATACCCTACACATCTGTTAAAGGAACAATATAGGCACCCAGATCACTTCATTTCTTTGAAGTGGTCTGGTTGCATTGTTCCTTTCTCCCTTACTCCTGCAATGTAAAACATTTTAGTTTTAGAGAGGCAATGCTTTCCTATGGGGAAGGCCTAATTTGTGCGTAGCTCAGGCCGCGCATGTGCATTAGGTTCCCTCCCCCCCCCATTGGCTGACTTTATAGGAGGAGCGTGACCCAGCACCGAGGAACATGGGTGCCCGAAACGGGTAAGTGAATAAAGTTTTATTGAACCCTTTACATGGCTGGGGGGGAGGGGAAAGGAGGGGAGAACACGTTAGTGTTAGGAAAACATCTTTGTATTCCTAAAGTTTCCCTTTAACTGACCACAATAAAGCTGATTTTTGTCAAACAGTCATTGATGATGATTAAAAACTGAATTAGCAACATTTAACAGTGCATTTTTTTTTTATTATTCTATACTATCCGAATAAACACTTTAGTTGACTGATCCACAAACAATCTCCACATTTGCTATTTTATATTTCCTATGGGGACTAGAGTTGTGCTCTGCATTTAAAGCGCCTCTATCAGCGTTGGTGCTCTTTGCGGAACTTGCAAAGACTCCCAATGGTGACATCATTGCTTAGTGTGAGTTGGCCTGGGGCTGAGAATTTGTAATCAGCAGTTGTGTGTGTGTGTGTGTGTTTTTTTTTTTGTCTTTTTTTTTTTCCGTTTCTTCTGATTTTGTCTGCAGTATCCCAGTTTGTTTCCCTTGATGCTCATTAACGATTTATATAAGATAAAGTGTTTTATATCTTGTATAAATGGTTTACTCTAAAGTTGTTATTTTAAGGCTGAGACAACCTTTTACATTTTTCTCTTCCAGTTGAGTGAGAAACGAGTAACTCACTAACTCTTTAATGTATGGCACGTAAAAGCAAAACATCTTAGAAATATTTCAGCCATAACTGAGGACTACTGTATTAAGGTTT